TAAGGAACCTATTATTTAGGGTGCTATATTAGGGTCCCCTATTTTCGGAAACCCCCATGTAAACATTGGAGGGCAGAGCAGCAATAGATGCATCCAGCTTTAGTGGTCCCAATGAGAATGGTGGCTGGAGCATTGTTGGCAATAAGGATGACGACACTACAGTGACTGTAGTTGTTTTTTTTATCCCATTTTGTTGCCGCCGGTCATCGATATTGTGGTGGCAGCTTGTGCAAGGGGACGGAAGAGATCGTTCTACGTATGCTAGGTGTTGCTGGCTGCAACAGTGTCAGCTATGCTAGCAACAACGGCTCAAGCTCCCAAGACGAGCATGTAGAGGTCCCGAAGGTTCAGCATATACGGGGATGGCGAAAGGTCACCAAGGAGACCGAAAAATACACTCAACTCCCGATCTTTCCTGAGGTTCTCTGCAACCCCCATGCCCGTTTCCCGAAGCCTCACTCCGAACCCTTACCTAACATGTTGAACCTTAAACTCCAGAGCCCGAGACCTGCTCCGAGTGATGTCTCTCCATTTGCAGGCGATGGACAAGTTCGCAAAGCATCACAGCGACAGGTCTTTCAGCTTGGACTTGGAGGTCAGGCTGGTGCTTCTTCGGTGGGTGGCGGCTGGGTGGGTGGCTGTTTCGGGTTTCTACAGGGTCGCTTGGGAGGGTGGTAGAAAACCCGGCACGGTCGCAAGCTTCCTGAGCTGCAGGATTTCGACGTCGAACACTTCAACACTTTACTGGGCTTCTTGGGTGAGGCGCCTGAAGCTCAAGCTCGTATGAGAAATCTATGGCCCCAAGACTCCACCACAGACCTCGCGCCCGGAAGGACGAAAAGTGCCGGTACGTGGATGTCGTACATGACAATGCAACTCGTCGGCAGGTCTGTCAATCTTTGCAGCCCCCCTAAACCTTCAACCCTAAGCCCTAAACTCGCTTCTGCCTCGTACCAGGAACCTCACCTAGGCAAGTCCGAGAGTGAGTGCTGAAACCCTAAATTTAAACCCTAAACCATGCTTACAAGCACGGCGCCTGCTTGCGGAGAGGCCGGCAGATTTCCGTCGCCTGCGAAGCCGCTGGAATGGTCGGCAATAAGGTGTAACATAGGGGCCTAAATAATTGCCAATATTATTCCTTAGGGTTCCTCAGTAGAATTATTCTACAATAAATCCGGAAACCCTATATTAATTGTTAATTACGGCCCCTATAGTAATCCTGGGGAAGGCAAATGAGATGTGCAGGGCAGATGTAGGCAGCCCAGGCGCACGATTGCCCACCAGAGAAAAGTGCACTGCCTGGCGGCTGTATCCGCTTGACTTGGTCATATACACATAAACGTAAATAAGAATATGAATATGGATATATGAATGTCTTTGTAAAAAGATAAAAGGATGCAACAAGCCGTTGAAGCACACGATGATGTATTGTGGTGTAATACAATGCCTTCTTGCCACCCTTTGCCGTCACAATTGTTTTGTGGCAACTGTCGGTCGAACTGGCTCAGAAAGCGACGGGAGCCAGTTCACAGGCTAGCAGAGATTTTTTGCTTGCAATCACGTCAGAAAGGCAACTGCATCGGGTCCATCTTCGGAGGGGTCCTAGGCGTGTCAGGGTTTGGCCATGAGTGTCTGCTGCGCCGACATGATGACTGCGAAAGTGGGCCCTGACGCCAAGCCCTTCGTGGTGCAGACCTTGATGGAGGTGTTGAGGGTTTCGGGGTTCAGGGTCAAGGGTTTGAGGGTGAAGTCTGCATGAGGGAAGGCTGAATTTTGTGAAGTGTAGCGAGCGTCTCCGAATCGATCAGAGAGTCATCGCAGGTAGCCGCACCCTAGCCCAAGAGCCACCCTAAACCCTAAACCCTAAACCCCAAACCCTCGTGAGAGCTTTGCAGCTCCTAGCGGCAAGCGCCTCAATCTGTCTGGTGCTTAGTAGGGAAGCGGGGGAATGGGTTATAGGGACGACTATAAGGGACCTTAAGGGACGATCATAGGGATCCATTCCCCCATTCCCTACTAAGCACCAGACTGTCAATAGCTGTACGGCTTCCTCGGTTTTGTGTTTTGGGTTTTACGCCTTCGCATGTCTGAGTGGGAGCATCCACCTCAAGCCTCTCAAGCCTGACCAGCAAGGCTAAAGCCTGTAAGGTTGGTCAACAAGGATTGCTTGAGGGTGTCCTAAACCTGAGTGAAGCCGCCGAACTCATTTGCCTAGATCAAACATGAGAAAAGGCGGACTGACTACCCAGGGCAACCATAGAAGCTAAGATGATTACAAGATTGTTCCTCACGGTGCCTTATGATAAATACCCCACACTTTATATACCCAAGATCTATTGAGATCATTGGGGCCCATGTTGCATTACCCACAAAACCGAAGTCGTGCTCGGGGTGGAGGACAGTCCCGTGACCACGGAGTTCTTGACGACCATGTCCGGCCAGCTTCAGAACGTGCAGCACGTCATTGACGACGTCCCTCGATGAGAGTAGAGTGGAGACGACTAGCTTGTAACACAAAGATAGATATACATTAAGAAATACATGATTAAATACATGCAAAAATAAATTCACACATACATACATACATACATACATACATACATACATACATACATACATACATATACACACACACACGCATATATTGAGTATTTATACAAAAATATATTAATCATAGTTTTTATATAATACATTATATAATGTTCATTTGCTCAACTCATCGGCGAAGCCTTTTGCATCTGCAGGGTTGTGCCTTCCCACTCAGGTCACGACGCAGATCGGAAGGCTTCAGCAGCAAATCAACAACAAGCTGGGCCATGTGGGCACAGTGGTGACCATGCCCACATTGGATGCCGCTGGACGGAAATAGTCTTGATGACGCTGAACGATACGACCGGAATCCCAAGATTTTCAAAAACGAGCCTTAAAACCTAGACCTGAACCCTGCTCGCCCGGATCGTCCGAGTGTGAGCGTCGAAACCCCCGCGAAGTTTCTCTTCACTTTCTGGCTGGATGGATGGAAAAAGGGGTCCTTACAAAAACTCTCCTCAGCCCATATAGATCCCTCCATTATAGAAGCCTTAACTGAACCTCAAGCCCTTTCAGTTTGATTGGTCAAGCTGCTCCGAGGATGGTGGCTCAAGGCGCATCGACCTCCCAATGGACTTGGATAACATCACCATGCAGAAAGCGCAGGGCGCAGGTGCTTCGGATGAAATCGGGGCCTGAACTTCTTATTCCTATTATTATTATTACTATATTTTTTGTTTTATGTTTGTTTTTATTTCTATTTCCATTGTTTCCATTATCTACAACATGCAGAGTTTAGGGTAGAGGGTTTAAGGCTTTGGATATTGACTAGAAGCACTACGAGCTTATTAGTTACCGTCCGAAGTCATCAATGACGAATGATATGTACAGTCCTTCCTACCAGTATAGCACTAGCCGAGAACATAGGTTTTCTGACACTGGCAGCGTGCAGTAACACAGGAAGCACGGCAGTCAAAATTGTTGGCGTGGCAGCTACAACGGCAATGTCGTAAGACTACTGAAATACATGCAATGGCGCAAATGGCCAAAATAGCACGCGATACTTTCAGACAGCATAAAAAGAGCCGCAGCAGCGGCAACGAAACAAGTAACAGCAATGTGAGTACTGCAAGGGAAAACAGTAAAGATTCAGGGTCTGTTTGTGCGTTGCCACCAGTGGCAGCATGTCGCCTAACGCTGGCAGTAGCACCACCAGAAATTCCTGCAACCAGAAATTGAATGATAGATAGCCGCATGAGTCCAAGCAACATCTGCAAAATAACGAGCATAGTTACCTATGCCAGGTGCTGCAGGCAGATGCCACAACCAACATCACGCCCGAAACCCTAGACTCTAGACTCTAAGCCCTAAGCCACAACCCCCAAACCCCGTTTGACAGTGTCAGCGTCGACCCCGAAACCGGGACTGCTAGAGTCTAGGACAGATGCACTCAATGCAGCGCCGTGTGTATGGATGCCGCAGACAGACGAACCCCCACAACTCCAAGCCTTGAGCCCAAAACCCCTAAACCCTAAAGCCTTAAACCCCAAACCCCTCAAGACCTAAACCCTTAACCCTTTTTGCATCAGGGCTTGTGCAATAAAGCCCTCAGCCCTAAACCCCAAAGCTCTGGCGGGAAAAGAAGCCCTAAAACTCTAAGCCCCCTAAACCCTAAACCCTAAACCCTAAACCCTAAACCTTAGCTCTGATCGAGCTGCAGGCACGCGGGTGCTGGAGCCCATCGCAGAGCCCACTCCCGAGCCCGAGGATGAGATCCTCAGCGAAGATGCCGAGTAGTGGAGTAGGGTTTAGGGTTTAGGGTTTAGGGTTTAGGGTTTAGGGTTTAGGGTTTAGGGTTTAGGGTTTAGGGTGTAGAGTAGGTAACCTTCAATAAGGCTTTTTTTGGGGTTCTATAAGGGGTTCTAGAAGGGTTCTTAGTAGTAGAGTGGAGCTTGGCTTAAGGGATTCAGGGCTTAGTGCATTACCTTTAAAACTTTTTGGGGTGCTCTAGTACTTATATAATCCCAAACGCTAACCATCAGTTCTGCTAGGGCACAGGACAAGTATTCGGGTTTCGAGGGCTTACAGGCTTAAGAGGGTGTGTTGTAGGCTTTATGGGTTAAGGGTTTATGGCTTAGGGTTCAGAGCGTTCATAGGGCTTTTTGTCAGGTTTATGAGTTAAGGGTTTATAGGGTTTAGGTTTAGCACGGTTAAGGGTTCAGAGGATTTGCCGGTTCGCGGTTAGGGTTCCGCGTTTCTGGTAGTCCCACATCATTTCTGGTACATTGGTACATTCTTGGTTTTTGTTCAGCACATGCGACCGCCTCCGTTAAGGCTTGGATGGTGCATCTTTGCCTTAGTCTCCGATGGCGGAAGAATCATCCATTTTTCCGAGGTGTGCTAGACAACTCAAGCACAAACCCAGATCGCCGAATCCCTCGCACTGTAAACCCTGCCCTACCGTAGCCTTTGTATCGCTCCGGAAGTCATGGTCGGGAAATTAAATTTCGTAGGGGCAGCTTCCCCGCACACGCCCCATAGCCGTCTTGAGCCTTGTTTGGCCTTCGTCAAAACAGGTTGCCTTCTGAGAGGTACATCAGGTGCTCAGCAAGGTACATGTTGGCTTCTTTGCTGTGCGTGCAGCTCCATCCGAAGCCCTCTAGAATCCGAAGCCACTAGAGGCAAGGGTACGGGTGAGGGTGCCCGCACGTAAATATAGCATACCCTGTGTGCCATACCTTAAATTCTGAATCCAAAACAATTTATCCTGGTTGCTTGGTTCTTGTCAAAAACCTTGATTAAGTTTCCAGAACACGGTCGCACATTGTTGCATATCCTCATTCTGGTCGGCTAAGATCCCTAACAAAAGGCCTTGATCCCCTCTTCCTGCAAAGCGCGTGGACCTTCCAAACCGCCACCCTCACCACATGGGGGTTGGGGGTTCTCTACAGTAGGGGCCCTTTCTGTTGTCCTTTTACAAGGGTGCCGTACTGTCTTTGGAACTTAAAATAAAGGGACCTTGACGTAGAGAACCACCCAAAATCCCTTCAATCAGCCCCAACCGTCCTAAGCCTTGAACCCCGGCCCCGAGCCCTGAATCGTGAGCCCATCCCGCAAAGCTCTGAACCCTAATCTCTAAGCCCTAAGCCCTAAGCCCTCAAGTCAGGGGTTCATGTGTCACGTTGACTCAAACCTGTGGAACCTCGCCTTGCTTGTCCGAGTTTTGACGTCCGCCAAGGAAGGGCCCAGACGCTTCCTTAAAGGTCGAAGAGGGCCTGGAGGTCAAGGAGAGCAAGCGAACAGAAGCAGATCAGGCCACAGGGGTTGTTGGTATGAATGAGGGTTCATAAGGTCATGAACCCTAAACCCTAAACCCTAAACCCTAAACCCCTAAACCCTAAACCCCTATATGGAGGTGGAAGAGGCTTCTGGGTTTTGCAGGGTTTAGGGTTTAGGGTTTAGGGTTTAGGGTTTAGGGCAGTACCACAACGTCCGGCCAGGAAGCTATCGACGAGTTGGTGCATCAGTTCGAACGCTGCGATGTTTCCACCAACGGCTCCTAGCTGTCATTTGGGACTTTCCGAAAATTGGGGGTACCTTATTTTGGGGTCCTTGTAATAAGGGAACCTATTATTTAGGGTACTATATTAGGGTCCCCTATTTTCGGAAACCCCCATTTCGAAGTTAAGCTGTCCACTGTCCTCGAGCTTTGGGTTTGTGGTTCAGGCTCCTGTGGTCTATGGAAGCAGGTGCTTTCAGAAGATGCTTGGTTGTTTCGTATGCGATCAAGTGAAAAGCCTGACCCCAAATAGTTCGTTCTTACACACTGACATCTAGCCGTCCAAGCTTTAGTGCCAAGGATTCGTGTCCGGTCATGAGCTCGTTGCGCTGGCCTTTGCGCACGGCGAGCAGTTGCAGTTGGGCAGTGCTTCTCGGAAGCCGACATCTCTAAACACCCAATGCCCAAGCCGGGAAAACGAAGGCTGAGTCGGCTAAACCCCGAAGTCAGTGGTTTGGGGTTTGGGGTTTGGGGTCCGGTCTGCTGGACAACAAGGCCTGTTGCAGAACGGGTTGTAGACGATACACGGCCAAGCCTGTGGCGAAGGCGTTGGCAGGTTGCACCAGTCGTCTTGGCACTTGTCTGCCTTCGATTTTTCCATGTATGTGATAGTGCAACATAGGTCTCGATGTTGTGCGTTTTTAAGAATCAGCCAACGGGTAAGTAACTTGAAATGAGGCCTTTCTTTAAGCCCGAGTCGTCGATAATAAACGTTGTCAGCTGCCGATCGGCTTTTTACTTTAGTGATTTGGGATTGTGATGGCAAGCGGGTCTGTACGAATAATGGACCTGTGCCACTTAGTGTTTGAGAAACTTTCCTGCGCTGTTACGGGGGCCTGTCCCGCCTAGGAAGTTTCACGCCGACCCGATTGCAACTTACAGACCTCGTCTGGCAGAGTTCGAGTTGTGAGAGCATTCGCAATAAACCCCTAACCCCGTCGGGTCAAATGGGCGGGGTTGTGCCAGGAGTAGCACCAACTCCACCTCTTACTCGTGCTGCTAACCTTTAACCCTGAGCTCCTGAACCCCAAAACTTAGGCGCTAGACCCTCAAGCCCTAAATCTAGTTACCATACATCATGCTGTCTGCTCAAAAATATCCGTCGCTTAAATTTATTTTTATGGTATTTGGCAAGCAGGACAATAAAGGTGACAATGGAAGTTCCTATGAACGGTGAGGTCAATGATTTTCATTGGTACACGGCCACAAGACCCAGTAAAAACTAGGCGAGAACCTAATGCGACCGTTGGGATTAGGGATGGGGTAATTAGTTGTTCCTATACTGCTACTGGTAACGGGGAAGTAGTAGTGATATTTTCGTGATGTTGGGGGGAGAACTGGAGCGATCATTATGGATGAGGTAATCGGCTTTTCTTATAGAGCTATTTGTCATGGAGGCATGGGTGATATGTTGGGTGAGATGTAGGGGGGAGTATAGGAATAATTCTCTAATGCGGCGACTGGCGGTCTTGGTACACCAGAATGGGTAAGGGTTCTGCCCACTAATTTCACCGCTCAACTTGTACCATGCGCCCCCAAAGCCTCGACCCTGACTCTTAAGCCTCCCTAAGCCCTAAACCCTAAACATCCGTTTAAGCGTAAACTTTAGGCCGTTGCAACAAGCCCTTAAACCCTGTGATCCGAGGTCCTCAAGCTCTGCACGAAACCTGGTCAGAGTTCGAGATCCTTTCTGTTCTTGTTTGTTTTTCTTTGGACCGGGATGGGGGGTTGGTTGGGGTTTGAGGGTACAGCATTTGGGGTCCGGGGGCTTTGGAATTGGGCGTGAAGCACAGGCCCTAAACCTGGAAACTCTCTGGAACTTCCTACACCCTACATAGAGGTTTGGCATAGCCTAGGTACCTCTCTTCCAATGTCCGCGCATCCCTCCGGCCCACTATGTTGGATTCCGTGAGCGAAGAGAACCTGCACCTTGGCATTCAGAGTCTAATTCAGAGTGTGCTTTGCGGGCTGCGTAGGGGCTTGCCCGTTTTGTTTTTAAGGGTCTCATCGAGTCGTTTTTTACGGCCTTGCGTAAAGTCTGTGGCATGTGCAGCCTGTGGGAGTTTGGCGAGAAAGGCAGAAAGGCAGGGCATCGAGTCGTTTACAGAATTCTTGGTTGCAGGTGTTTAGGGATTTTCGGGCTGTTATTGTTTCCGATGCCTCTGGGGCTCGCAGGGCTTCAGGGCTGTAGGGCTGTCATGCTTTTTGAGCTGTGGCCGCGATCACTGCAAAGAAAGACATCCCCAGTTTCTGGAAGGTTGTAGTGCGCGGGCCGGCAGGAGCCACAGTGCCATTTGGACCAGGAGGGGCAGCAACAATGGTAGCAACACTAAGGAATTGGATTGATTGGCTCCCAAACCCAAGGCCCTGAACTCTCCGTGCCTTGAGCTCTTTGCCCTCTTCTAGTGTGGTGGTGTGGCTGTCTTCCAGCTGGAAAAATGCTGCCTTGAGCATGTGATCAACCCTGTCCTTGCTGGAGGGATGGTGAGTGATGGGGTGCCTTCTCTTAGGATGCAAGTCAGACGTCCTCGTTTGTTGTATCCATAGAGATGACCATGTCTCTCTACATGAAGGGAGGGAGCACCTGTGAGGGGCGTGAGCTGAAATGGGCGTTTTTCATACTTTTCGGGTTGCGATTCGGCCGATGGCCGTCGATAGCCCAGTTGGGAGCCAAGGCGTGCAGGCCAAGAAACAGACAATCAACCCAATTCAAAAAAAAACTCTCCGTGCTAAACTCGCCCAAGCCTTACGCTGCCTTGCACCCCGAACGCTATGTCCACAAGAGACATTCCCTCTAGAACCTTCCGGAGTCCCATAACAGCTCCCGGCGCTGTGCCGGAGGTCTAAAGACCCGAAGACAGCAGAAGCGAAATTCGGAGTCTGCTAAGAACTCTATAGTGTACCTAGGAAGACCGAGCTGGATGTCAACGGCTTCGTTGCTCTGCGCTTTGACAAAGAGCTCTTCGAAGCAGCCCCATCGGAATCTCGGCTCGCGCAAGCGAGGGTTTCACATCGGAGCCTGATTAAGAAACCCTGGGTCGTGATTAGGGGTTTTGATATGAGTCCTAGTAGATAGGGGTTATAGGGCCAGGGTTTCTCTGTCAGGCTCCTACATCAGTAAGTCTCGTCTCAGTAGGGTCTGTATGGGTGTTTGGGGTACCTTATATTGGGGTCTTTATAACAAGGATCCTACTATTTGAGGTGCTATATTGGGGTCCCCTATTTTCGGAAACCCCCTTTTGGGTGTCCGTTGGTGATTGTGTTGCGGAGCGTCTCCTGTCACGAGCTGGAGCTTTCGCGTGGGGCTTCGGTCAGAGAAGGCTTTCTGCATCCTAAGTCCTAAAGCCATGAAATACCCTAAACCCTAAACCTTAAACCATGAAATACCCTAAACCCAAAACCTTAAAGCCATGAAGTGCCTTAAACCCTGCACCCTAAAGCCATGAAATACACTAAACCTAAACCCTAAACCCTGCACCCTAAAGCCATGAAGTACACAAAC